AAGGAGATGTGTTTCATGACTTTGGCAAAGAGAGCGTGCCTTGAGAGCAAGATGACCAGTAATCGAGCTGGCCAGGCTGTAATGATGTTTTTGCTTGTATTGATCCACCAGTTTTTGCAAAAATGATTTAGGGGTTTGTTCTCTTAATAACACACTCCCAGATCCCTCTCACACAAAAAAAATGTCAAACAAAATCGAATCCGTTCGGTCTGGCTCTCACACAGCTCCGTCCGCTCCGTTGGCTGCTCAGACATCTTTCAGTCGAGGTATTCGACAGTCACTCCATCCTGCCGCAGCCCACGCAGGTTGTTGTTTACATACCGAACACCACATGGATAAAAAAGAGAAGCGGATGGCCCAACATGACGTAACATGGTAAATGTACAGAAAAAAAAGTCAAAATACTTCAAGAATTTTTGCTCATGCCTTTCCTATAAGACATGTCTTCATGTGTTCTTAGGACCCAGGCCTTGCAGCTCAGAGCTGCACTTGAGACCAGGATCTTGGGTGCTGGAATTCACGAGACCAGCTTACAAATGCTTACACTTGCTCACAAGAGCTCCAAAAGGCTCTCAAACCCCCAACTCTTCCCAGGTTTCTCCAGCATCTTTTGGGGGCATGATCCATTGAAACAATCTCCCCGCCCCAAACCACCCGCGGGTGAACCACCACCTCGCGCCCTGCCAAGCTTGCGCCCTGCCCATGCCAGTCCATAGGGTGGAACTCGGACGCGCCATTGGGATCATGGATGATCAGCTCGAAGGGCTTCGGCACCTGACAGGCTTCGGGGTTTCGCCCTGACTGGGCTTCACGGAAGTCTTCTGCGTCGCCTTCGATGCCTGGATGAGATCTTCTCTTCGTCAATTGAATCTGATGGGCGTGACCCACCAATTCCATGAAGTTCCATGAAATTGGACGGTTACAAGACCAGGACTACTAGATCGAGTGATTAGAAAATATTAGAAAGGGCTGGAGGAGGCTGAGCAAATCGCCTTTTGGAGCTTGGACAGGAAGGTCGAGCGGCTTAGCCGCGATGTTCCGCGATGTTCGACTCATTGAGGGTCGACTCATGAGTCGACTGACTGAGCAAGTTGACGCGCGATGCGACGAAAGGGAAATTGAGGGTGGCCGGATCCTTGACAAGGAACTTTTACTGGGAGCGAAACGTCCCGAAACTGTCCTATCGGAGTCACACCCCCCGTCAAAAAAAAAAAGAAAAGCAACTCGACTCGACGTAGGTCGTCGCTGTAGGGAGCCCCCCACGTCCAGCAACTCACGCAAGTTGTCGACGGTCTTCATGATCGTCTCCTGGACATCTCGTCGAGGCACCCAAGACGTGACGGAGACGGAGCGCTTGGTTTTGGGTCGCACGTTTTTCGAAGAAGACGGACTTGAAAAAGCTGTGTTGGGAGCCTTGGCTTGGGGGGGGCTTGGTATGGCGTTGTTTTTTAAAGGCGTTCAGGTTCTGTTTCTTGACTTGTTTTGCTAGGATTGTGTGGGCATCCGGTGAGCTCGTTAGCTAGTTGTGCGGGCCCTTGGTGGAGTTCTTTGTCAAGGCATTTCCGGCACGTGCCAGTGGGTGATGATGTTTCTGGAAAACAGTTTCAGTTCATTTCCGGAGGCTGTGTGAATCCTTGAAAAGTACTTAGAAGCATTACACCAGAAATGTTTAAGAGATGGATGAAAAGTCAGTCCTTGTTTAAAGCAAGAGGCTTTGACTGGATCATCTTTGCTCCTCGTTTTGCAATCAGAGTATATCAGAGTTGTAAGAGTCAGAACACGCATCAATCACCCTTGCCTTATCCCCACAGACAAATGAACAGAAAAGTTCAGAGTCACCTCCAAGACTCTAAAATGTTCATGGTCATTCACTGATATGATTTGAATATGCTTGAAACCAAAACCGCACGATCCACCGGTCGGGAAACCGAGGGTGAAACCTCGCTCGAAAAGGGTCGGTCCGAGCGATCGCCCATCGACCGACCGGGTGAAAAACGGACGATAAACAGCCCCTAGTAGCTTCTTGCTCCTAGATCTCCTAGTAGCGATGCCAGGAGCCCCGTTCGTAGCGTCCATGGATAGACCTGGAAGACGATCCTATGGACTTTGAAAACCACGTCGGGGAGTAGTGGAAGACCATCGGACCCAGAGGGCCAGGACGGACGGACCCGGGTCGAGCTGTGAGTTGACTTGGGAGTGCATGTTTGTTTGACATGCTCGCTGTGACCTAAGCCGCTAGCGTCATTGATCTGCTTGAACCGTAGAACTACAGCAATAATCTGTTCCTGAGGTCTCAGAGCTACACGGCTCTGGCTTCACTCGTAGTGTTGCCATATCCTGCCAAGTCTTCACACTCCGTGGTCAAGTGTTGCCATATCCACCAAAAAAGGCGATCCAAATAAACCACCACATGGCCCTCGCTACGTTCTCTGCTCCTTGGTATACTGATCCTCCACCAGAGCCTGCGCATGCATCTCAATCCTCAGTGCTGGGCGCGTCTCCACAAAACCTCTCTTCTCTATTGAGTTGGGAAGGAAATGCCAAAGAACTCCCTCAAAGTAGATCCCGACTATATATAGACCCCCAACTGAATAGAAGATCCCGACTCAACATGTATTGGTATTGGAACCCGTCCCGGGGACCGATACAACTACGGAGAAGATCGCCCGGCCCTGGACCTCCCCAACTTCCCCCCCCCCTTTCTTCTATCGAAAATTGAGTCCAATCTGTTGAGGTCCTGATTTGACGTGGTGGAGATGGATGATGATGCTCAAAAAGAACAGGAATGAAGAATGATGTGTTTCTCACGTGAGAACAAAAAAGATCTGTTTTCATTCCTGGTGCTCCCCACTTCGTTCTCTCACGACATGTCACTGGTTAAACATGAGACCTTCGATCCTTTCCACGATCGAAGAATCACCTGCCCTGATACTTCGATCACTTGCCAGACCTACCAGGACCTACCACCAGAGTGAGTGAGTGCCCCGTTTCAATCACTTGCACCTTCTCCCCGCTTCATGTCGTTCTGGCGTGTCCAGGTCGCGTTCCTTCGTTTTCGCCGGTGCAGAAAGAAGTTCAATTGGAACCCAGTGGCTCATCCACCGCCTGGACCAAATGGTTGTAGAGCGTATCGATTTGTCGCTTGGCAATGGGACCTCACACAAAAGCTGCCACCTTCCCCCCAACAAAGGCTCCACACCTATTGTGGCCCCTTGCCTTTTCAGTCGGCTCGGTTGTGACTGGCGTCCGACCGACTGCAGCCGTGGCTGCAGACCCATCGAACTCCACGGGGTCGGACGGACACAGCAGCTCGGTCGCAGCGAACGGTGCGGTTCTCGGCGACTTGGCGAGTCGACGTGGCGAGTGGAGGTGGCTGTCAGGAATGGCGGCGAGTCGAGTTGGGAAAAGCTCTGGAGGCTCAGTTTCATTCCTTTTCCTCTGATTCCCTACTACATGTCTGGTGGAAGAAGTGGCTTTGATGATCCTCTTCCAGGCTGGAGAGGAAGATCGCTGTATGGCCGCCGATGGGGCACGATCATGCAAAGATTCTCACTGTCTGTGTACAGTAAGAACTTTGGAGGTACACATCTTTCACAGAATCTGCGGGCACCATCTTTGCAAAGACGTAGACTACAAGTTCTGGGTATGTTCTGGGTACTGTCTGGGTACACATCTTGTAGTTTTGACACTTCAGGTGTCGGATCAGAAGAACCACTTGCCCAACTGGCCGGTGCCTTGATTCGGTGGCCCGCCGACGTCTCGACGTCGAAGGACGACTCGGCCCAGCGGCGAATCTCGAACTCCAGGTGGGGTAGCTCCAAGTCGGCATTCCTGAGTCGTCTGCTGGACGGCTCACGGTTCCCCAAGGGGTTGGAACGGCGCAGAAAACGCCGCAAAAGACACGCCTGGCCCTCAAGTTAAGTCACAGATCAGTGCGGTTGAGCCGTCTTGTGTCTGATCAGTTCTACACTCTGGAACACCTGGCATCACACCTGGCCAATCCAATGATTCAATCCTGGCTTCCCAAAGCAAACCTGCCCAATCCTCCCGCCACCTGCCGGGTTACCACATGTCGGGTTCCGCACGGTTCGCGCGGTTCGCGCTGTCTCCGAGGCGTCGGTCTCCGTCACAGGTTCGATTGGTCGCTGGGAAAACCCCCGGCATTCGGTTTTGGTCCAAGGGATGCTTCGTTCCGGTCCTGTTCCGGTCCGGGTCGGAGAGCGTGGGTTTGGTCCACCGTCGGACGAAGAATCCAAGCTGACAACAAAACACGAAGATGAGCATTGATGAGCATTCTCTATTCACCTTCGCAACGTGGTTACCAGTGACATTGTCAGGTTGGACATGCTGGATCATGGACACTTTGGCTGTTTCTGACGATATGAAGAATGAACCTGCTAATCTCAGCAAACATCCGAGACCTGTGTGGCGCTGCCTTGTCCCGGTCAAGTACATTCCAGTTGTTGAATCTCTTCTTTCCCCACAGTTGTCCATCCTGTGGAAAAAAAGAAACTTCTTCATGATCTCACGGCGAAGGAGACTCTCTTTTGCATCTTTGATGAGTTCACCATTTCCAGCATCACGACTGGTTCGGCGATCGCGGCTAAGGAGCTTCCCTGGCTCAAGTCTGTTGATTGCATCAAACACCGATGTCCCTTGCTTGGTTTGATCCATTTGAGGGGATCCTATATTGATCAATCAGCTACCAGGGGCGGACTGGACAACAATTGTCACTTGCATGTTAGGTATTCTCAACATTTCTCAACCCCCGGACCCGACCCGGACCGACGCCTTCTCAGACGTCGGCCGCTGCAAAGCCAAACGCTGGGCGCGAAGGAGTGCGCCCACGAGGGCTGCAACTGGAAGATCCCTAGAACTGTAAACCGATCGGAGAAGGCCAAAAACTAAGAGCCCAGAGCCCAACAACACGCGAGTGCGGCCTCCACTCGCGCAGTGGCGGTGCTCCGGTGCTCTGCCTTTTCCTGCGCCTGAAAACCCTCTCACTTTCGAGTGATCTCAACCCGCAAGCCATCCTTGTAGCTCCTCAAATCAAGAAAAAAGCACAGCTGTTCAAGAGGATGGCCGGAAAAACAAACATGGACCGTCTGTTTCATCCCATGTCTGCCCAGGTTGTTTGACCCTACAGCCCACACGATTATGGTCAAGTCAGCAAACTCAACTACAAGTAGGTACGGCCGGATTCTGACACGACAAAAAGATACGAAAAGCAACAACTCCTTGGGAAGATATGTTTCATAATGTTTCATATGAGCATGTGTATGCTGTGGTGTTGTCTTGGATTGCACCGCGATATATTGCATTTCATGTTTCTGGTCGCATCTGAAGCAGCTAACGGTATTGCCACATAGTCTAAGTTTCTTCAGAAAGAAAGTGCATCCTCCTTTGAAAGAAAATTGAACACCTCTGCGGGTCTACAGTCTACAGTATACGTGTCTTCTGGCGTTCCATGTCATAAAACACCTCATGACTCATGACTCCTCATGTAGACTCTTAGTTTTGATATATGTTTTGATGAATAACACCCCCAAAACAATCCCGGACATGGATTGCAAAACCTGTGCAGGCCCGGCGGGGCTTGTATTGATCAAGAGTTTGAGCCTGGAATGATCGTGGAAATGATCATGGATGGCACCCGAGTTCGGATGACCATGAAATCCTCGACAACCAAACAAGTTGGCAAACTCGAGGTATCCCCCCGGTGGCCGTGAGAGCTCTTGCGGCAGGTACTGCCGAGGATCAAGGAAAAGGGCTTGACGACGGTTCCGGTGTCTAAGACTTTGAAGTCGTAATCTTTGCCTTGGCTTCGATGCCTTTGCGGCTCCAAAAAGGGTCAAGCCGGGAAAAAATGGTATATATCCCATGACAAGAGGGAGTCACTCAAAAGCACACGAAAAGCGTGCTTGCCAGTTGCACAAGATCTTCACGAAGAGTTGGAGCTCCAGCAAGGCCAGGTGCTTTCCAATACCTCAACATCGCAGCCAATCGGAGAGAGTTTCGTTTTGGGCGTTCACAGCGCCACCGCCCAAGCTTTTACAGAACAAGTGCGGAGAGAAAAGTTCAAGTGGAGGTGATTGAGCTCCAGATCAATCAATCAAAGAAATACAGCACAGCCGCCAGCCAGTGCAATTCTCTGGATGCCTTCCTTGCGGTTGAGAGACTCTCAGCTGGCAGCATCGATGGTGTTCCGAACCAGAGGTGTGACCCGGACAGCTACCCGGTACCCTTTGAGGACCTGTTGGAGACGACCGTAGACAGAAAGTGACTCCAATCCTCACCTTTCAAGAACCAACCTTCCTTCTTCGCTCTCCCCCTCTCTCCACCCCACCACTGAACCCACCACTCACTCGCCACGCGACACTCGTGCGGCTGTGCTCCGCCGAAGGCCAGAAACTTACTCCGCACGTCCTCTGTGCGCCAGCGATCGGGCGCCCATGGCCCCATCTCTATCATCGGCAGAGAGAGGTAGATGGCCATGGGACAACCCTTGGGCACCACGCCATACCTCAGCGAAAGCTGGATAGAGGTGGATCTGGAATGATCTGACTGCGCAAAAACGAAGTCGGTCGAAGGTGTTCGGATGGGGCGGCTGTTCCACATCTTTCTGGGCAGCATCTCTTCTTGTTGGCTTCAACCCACTAGATCAAAAATCATGCGGTCACATGAGATTGCAAAACCACGATTCTTAGTTTTTAATCATCCCAAGAATAGAGATTGGACAATGATTCTATAACCGCCCACTTGGAGGTGGACCCAGCAGTAAAATCATCCATCAAAAGAACGCAGGAGTCTCTCAACACATCATACCGTACCCCACTCCAATCCACACCCAGGTCATCCCGAGTCACTCATCACTTCCAGGTCACTCTCCAAGGTCCATCTCCGAGTGCCAATTCACCCTTCGAAAGGCCCCCGCCGGCGGCTTCAGCCGCAGCGCCTCGCGCACCACGCGCAGCGCCACCGAGTCGCCCTCCTCAGGTGGAGCCGAGCCGAGGCGAGGTCCACCGACCGACCTCCGCAACTTGCGATGGGATCGACCAGACAGGACCGGACGAAAAACAACGTCTGTTCCTAGCTGCCTTTTTTTCCGGTCTGGCTACAGGGTACGGGGGTCCAGGTTAGAAGCTTTGCAGGATCCTGTGTTTCTTGACCTCCTTCAGATTCTGACGTTCCTTCTGTATATGAGACTTCAGGGTGCAGGTGACAGCTGCCGTTCTGTGACGTTTAATATCGTTTAATACGACTGCAGGTGAGGTTATGAACAAACCAAACCAAGCAAGGACAAAACCCAATCAAACTTGATTCTTTCTTTCCACCCTTACCTTCGAAAAGGTCCGCATGTTCTACCCACACCTGCGGGTCCTCCATCTCTCCAACCTCTATACACACCCCAAATAGATGGAAAAGTAGATCCCCACTAAAAATGGATTGGAAACCGCTTCTATCTCTTTGGGATCACTATGTACTATTGGTACTGTGTGTCCCTTGTTGCGGGGTCCAACGACGCCAAACGAGCTTTCGAGCGACAATATTGGAGACTTCCAAGGGCTCGCTGGCCAGTTGTGGGATGCATTCCCTGGTGGTCGGTCGGATGTGCAAGCGCTGTGGTCTGTCTTCAAAAGATGATGTTCACCCGCCCACCAACTCCCCAGTGAGCAAATCCATCGTTTTTCACTGTTACTGGGCAGGTAGGGGTAGAATGTTCACCCAAAAGCAAGCAATTCTTGGACTCAACCAGAACAAGTCCACTAAACTAGTGAGTCCGGCTCCGTCGGAGCAACTCAGGTCTCATCATCGTCTGCTTTCGACGGCTTTCTTTCGGCCTGCAACTTCTGCTGCTATCGGGGAGTCGATCGTCTCGCCTCTGGTTGCCACATTCTTGATCAAGGACCCCGCTTCAGGACCCCTCAAAGGGGGCCTGCTGTTTTCTCAACAAAACCCTCATGACGTCCCACCAGCAGTGCGCCGCTCCGGCAGCCACCTGTGCTCGGCCAGCTGCACCAGGAGAAACGGCAAGGCGTCCTCTACTCGGCTCTACAAGAGCCAGCATCGAGGACAGTGCCCTGTGAACCTCTTCGGACAATCCGTTTTCATGTTGGTTTCTGGAGGATTTTGTTCGTCGCCATCCTTGGTTTCTGGAATTTTTTGGAACGTTGAAGATTGAAAAGAATCTCTCCCATTCAGCCTGCGTGGTTTTTCAGTTTGGCTCGTACCCTGCATAATGGTTCACTCTAACCGTTGATGCCTTGGATGGTGTCTAAGACTAAGAGCTTCACAGGCATCGACAGATCAAAAACCGTTTGGCTTATATAACCGCTTAACCCATACAGCACCATACTGAACTGTTGGGTTTGGTATATATATATATATGTGTTCATACCCAGGACGATCCGATGGCAAAACCTTGGATATCCATGCATACAGCTGCACGCTCGCTCCGCGGTGGTGATCTTGCCCGCGAAGAGCAGCGTCACCACGGTGTCGGAGATCTCTTCTTTGGAAAAGGCCTGACTCGCTCCATTCGGGAAACAAACGAATTCACCAGCTAGGTCGGGCGAGTTGAGATCGCGCAGCTCCACTGAACCCCCTGCCAATCCTCCGCGCTGTTGGACGAGGCAAGCACCACTCCGGCCCACCCCCCAGGCCTCGCCGTCGTCGGAATCTTTCATCAACTCAGCCACGATGTTTTGACCGTCCAGCTTGGGGGAGGCCATCAACTGGGCGATCATGGTGCTAATCTCCTGCGGAACAGATCCTTCCCCCCCCCCAAATATCCCCTGATCGGACGAGGCGAGGCGAGAGGCGAGGCGAAGCCCTCGGGGGGTTCGACCGCAGAGTCTGCCCGGCCCGGTGGGACCTTTTGGACGATGGATCGTCACAGCGCGGGTTTCGTCATGAGACATCCGACGTCCAATGCCACGTATCGAGGCAGGCTTTAAAGAATTTGGACGATGGATCAGGCTGGGGATCGATGGAAAGACACCAAGAACTGACTGGTCTACTGGGGGATGCTCACCTAACACGGTGGGAGCTTGCTGGATTGCTCTTGATCCCCACCCATCTAAAGAGTTTTGCGCTGAGAACTGAAAATTGATCAAAATGACAAGCCAGCGTTTGTTGCACTTGTCAAAAAAAAAATCGGTGCCCAATGCCCTTAGCATTGCCAAGATCTGCTCGCATCTTGTTAGATTGATATTATACAGGTGGAAGGTGGTAAGCTTCCTTCAGGATATGTTCGCCGCAAACAGTCCCCGACCGCACTTCAAAGCCGCAGGTTCCTGCTGTTTTTTGCAGCAACCTCACAAGGCACATGAAGCGGTGACGCTCCTAGGCCCAAAGCTGCCTTGAAGCTCCGCAGCCGCTCTTGAAATGGAAGGTCCTCTGGAGAAGCCGAAGCCGATGCTGATGGGATGAGGCTGACCAAGCAATGACTTCGATCAGCTGAGATCGACACCCCCACTCCCGTCAGACACCCCCGCTCCGTTCGATGACTTTTGGTCATCCGAGGCCATGATGGCTGAGCAAAGCTCGGAGCATGTCCGTAGATGGTGAAGAAGCTGGAGCAAGCCTGGGGCAAAACAGTGGCCCAGCATTCGCCTGGCTGCACATGTTTCCTCCAGTCACGCACCACGATGTCATTGGCGTTGTTTTTCAACTCTTTGATCTCTTCCCACTGCTCAGCAAAATCTCGATCATAACTCATGGAGAAGCGAAGCATGCAGGCTTGACCATCAAAGAGGTGGCTCAGGTCAATGAAAATGGTAAAAGTCCTTGCAAAGAGGTCATAGATGTGCCTATAGATCTCCCGTGTGGGCATGACCAGCTCACCTTCAAGTAGCTCCACCCCCCAGGATCTCTTCAAGACTTGCGTGGTGCAGCATCTCAAAGCTCCGACTAGACTGGAAGAGGGTCGATGATTTTCGCCAAAGCAACACCTCAGATGTTTGATCTGAGATCACAGGATCCGATCTTTCTCTGCAGCCTAGCAGCCTATAGTTTCACTCTTTGAGGGGATTCACAAAGGGGTTTACTTTATAAACACAGAAAATGGTCTGATGCAACCCTAGAATACGCGGGAATCTGGCTGCCAATACTGCACCTTCCGCTGCTTGACAAAATCCACAAGCTCTTGTTGCTTCTCTGCAAGAAGTTGATTGAGCTGATATCCATTCATCTTGCTGTGATCAAAAGTCACCTGCAGCAGGGTGCATTGAGTCCTGCCATGGCGCACCATGACACTCAGGCTACCTTCAACCTTGGAACATTGCAGGGAAGCCTGGATGGTCTCTCCAAGTCTCAGCCAAACATCAGGATTCCGATGTCGAGCATCAAAAAGCCCGACGTTCCGCTGTTCCACCCGCATCCTGATGTGCCAAGTTCGGGCCAGAAAAGCTTCGGACCGGAAGGTCTGAGGTGAAGTACCGTGCAGGTCTGCCTCACACAGATGCTGAAAAGAGACGTTCACTGGCGAGCCTGGAAAAAAAACACGTATCCAATCCTCTTTGGATCCAGGCGCTGCCCATCGTTTATCTATTTGTAGCAATTGACATGTATCACATATATGGTGATTGCTACCAAGCTTGCGGAGTTGAGAACAAGGCCGTTCACTCCTCGATCCTACGTACATACCTTCTCTTCATTTGATGAGGCAGCACAAATCATCTCCACAACCTGTGTGTATGCCCGATCAAGATAGAACATGAAACCTCATGACTTGCGATTTGCTTTCAGGTTCTATGCTACAATGATCCTCCTCAACCTCAAGCGCCTTAAGTTCCAGTGTCCCACCTCCACCTCCTTCCTCACTCGACGCTCCTTGCGCGCTCGCAAGGCGCGTCCATGGGCTGACCAAACCCCAAGATTCACCGGCGCAGCCAGCATGCCGGCCATGGTGACTTCGAGCAAGGACTCGAAGCGTCTCTGCTGATCCTCCTGCCAAACAACTCAGTCAACCCAGTGGCCCGGTCCACTTGTCCATCTTTTCCTGGGTAGGTATAAGGCCTAGAAAGGGCCATTCTGAATGAGTCTCTCTTTCCTGCTCCCATCCCGTCTGAAGTAGAATTGTTTCGCTATTATTCTGAAACGTGACGTTCCCTTTGCACTCCGGCATTCCTATATTCACTGCTTCATGGCCATGTTCTTCCAAAAGCCTCAGAACCCCCCCACAGCCCCGCGCAGCACCGTCCGCGCCAAGACAGAAGCGTCCAAAACGGTCCTCCAAGCCGGCCAAAATCGGCAGGATGGAGATCTTCTGTGCCAAGTGCCCTGCTGCAGGCTCAAAGGTCCCAAAACCTTTCGTGCTGGTCTCCTCCGCCAAGTCCTGAGAAACGCGTTTCCGCGCCACCGAAAACGCGCCACGGAAACACCCGTTGGTCCTGAACCCGAACTGGGTTGGTCTGAAAAGCGAACTGGGAGCTGCGCTACCGGGCGAACGAGCGCCCAGAATTGGGCGCCAATTCGCCGCCGTCAGGTGAGTGGCATGTGGTCCTTGTTTTTCGGGTTTTTGGGTGTGCCTGTCTAGCTCACTGGTTAGCAGCATAAGTTCTATGACTCAGAGGAATCTTGGAAGCATCCATAACTTCTCATTCTGCACCTCATAGAAGAGTTCGCGTCCTCCTCTTTGACTCCAAGTGCAGCCATGGAGTTAAGCTTAGATCTAAGTTGGCAAGCAACCAAACATGTTGAACAGGATCAGCTGCTCAACCTGCCCAGATCGCACTCCATCTCCACTTGTTCAGCCTCAACCAATTCCGAATGGATGCCCATCTCCGCCACCAACCCGATGTCTCATCCAAAAACACCAAGACATACCAAGACTAGGACCAGATCATCACTCGTCAGCCGACTCGCCAGCTGACTCGTGCCGTGCCTCTCGTTCCGACCTCCTCAGGTGTTCCTCGTATACCTCTCTTCGTCTTACTCGGAACCCCAAAACCGCCAAAGCGAGACTTCGCCTTTTCGTCCAAAAAGAAAAGGTCAAATGGTTGGGGCAAATCCGGGCACCTCAAGGGTGGCGCGGATGTAGCTCTCCATCTCTTTGGCCAAGGAAAGCACATACTGCGGCCCTAAGCATCGCAGCAGCTTGCCGCGAAGCCGCTTGTGCTTGCCTCAGTTCTGCCGTCCGTTCACGCCTGGGCCTACGTGGCCTGCGTTCTGCTCGGCCGACGGCGCGGGTGTCGTTGATAAAGGAGCAAGTTACCTCTCTTTTGACTTCTAAGGAGCTTGTGGTTTTAGTAGGGTCCTATTTCAAGCGTACCCACTGGGTGCCTGGAGAAGTGCACTCGTGTGCAAGAACAAAAATGCAAACAGGAACAGTTGTGTGGGTATGTCACGAGACAACGAACCACAAAGATTAGGTAAACTTGTCTGTGTCCCATCCGCTTTGGGTGTGAACTGCCGTGGACCAACCCACAGGAAAGAGCGCCAAAAGCACGGAGCTCCCAGCAATCAAGATCACCCATTCCTCATGTCCGGAAAAGCACGGCTGCAAGCCACCCTGCTCCCAAGCAATTCAGGGGCGAGTTGCTGTGGCCTTTGCCTCCCGGTAAGGAAATCACGCTGTTCCTGAGCTGAGGTGAACTTAGTAGCACTATGGTCGGTTTCGTTGGTCAGGCGGGTGTTTCGGGGTATCAAGATGGGCTTGGGTTTCCAATGCAGTAGTGCTGTGCCACGAATCTGGCAGAGACAGCGCGGACAGCGACTGGTCATGTCACCATTCACAGTACGAGTGGGGCTTGTTGGGTTCCAGTTGCCAGTGACGCATATGGGTTAACACACATCCAGAAAACAAGGGATGTAGGACCACATGCTGTGACAAAGTGATCCTTGTGAAGGACTGCCTGTGAATCTCTCAGGAAGCCTATGATAGCAACTCACGCAAAAAAGGTGGGATTGCTGGCTTGACGTGGTTTAAGCGATAGGTGTCTTGACACATTCCCAGCCCATGAGAACGCAAGCATCCCATGTCCCGACCCTGGATCACATAAGGCTGGTTATTAATTGGTATAGTATATGTAAGTATGAATATGCAATCTTTTTGCCACAAAACAAGGCTCTTGAGTTTAAACGGAACCAACACCTCTGCAGTTCCCTGCTTGGGTGAAAAATATCACGTGTGCCCTGTGGGTGTGTCAAACATGCACAGCCAGTCATGTAACATCTAGAACATGCAAGAGACCAACAGCGTCCTCCTTTTTCTAGCAAGTTGCGGTTGTCCGCCACTTGGAAGGCCAGGACAAAAGGAATGTTCTATTTCTTTGACCGTGGTGACCTTCCGGCTCACTCCGTCCGAAGTTGTAATGGTCCATCATTGCCCAGCTGCTCACCGATGATTGCCCGAATGCTGCTGGGGAAGAGAGGGCACAGCTTACCTGCCAATGATGCCAGATGTTTTCAGCTCCAGCTCCTACTAGTTTTTGGACCTCAACCCCTCCAAGAAGATGACTCAGTTTCCAAAACTGTGAACGAATCCTGGGTGAAGAAGCCTCAGTTGACGCATTTCATGTTACTTTAGACAGCAGAAGGTCTCTCCAGACTTCATTGATCTGGTGTGGATGCTGATGAGGTGTTTCAACACTCTAAAGAATACACTATGAGGAAGACATCACATGGAAGCGAAAACCACTCTGTTTTTCTTGGAACCTCGTCTTCTCAAAGGCAAGTCTTCCCTTCCATGTTAGTGAGGTTAGCCGCTTCGCCGTGAGCCCGGCTCGAGCGACAGCGGTCCATCCCCCTTGGTACCGACGGCAGGGGTTGATCTACAGGATTTTATGTATTAAAATCCTATGGGTCCAAGGTGATCTTTTAGTTTTTCACTGGTGCCCAACCTTTTTTTCCCGGCGGTGGTTTTTAGAAAATTCCTGTGCCCTAAGGTCCACCAGTGCGGGTCAGACAACAGGAAAAAACAACAAACCCCTGCCCGCCGACAATGTCTAGAAAAATCCTGTGTCCCAACCCTGCACCCCCTTACCACAGGGAAAGGAAGTCTCAGTAAAATCCTAGGGCCGAAAAACGTTTGAAGTATGGTGGTGATATGGACAGAAAAATGACCCAACATGTCCGCAAGACTGTTCAGAAACGACCAGAAAAGGCGGGCATTGTTTTTGTGAAGAAGGACCCGATCACTGGCAAAGTATCGGGCACAAAGGCTCTGCAAAGGCTCTGCCGAGTACACAACTGAGTTTTGCAGCTCAGTTTTTCGCTCTTGGGGCGGAATGGCTTGAAGTTGAGCCGGAGCCGTGAGCACTTCATGCATAAGCTGAGATGACAACTGTTTGCGCCGTGTCATGGACAGAAGGTGACAGAAGGTCTTGTGTGATCTTGCGCGTGGGGAAAAGATTCAGAAAGCCTGTTAGCGAGGAGATTTTAGCTGTCGATCTCGACGCGGTTGGTCTTTTTCACATTGTCCACTATGTTCTGCGCCGTCCTTCCAGGAGTCTTCAGTGCATGGTTAGCGCAAAGAGGAGGGGTTGGACGACGGACAATATGTTTGTGGAATCCTGTTACTCAGGGAATCTTAGAGAATTTCTGTGGCTGTGATTGGCCTGTGATCGTATTCCACAACTCCTGATGCTGCTGGCCTTTTTGGAATCCTGTTATTCGGGGAATTTCATGATAACCTAACTGTAATATCTAATTTATATAATACAGTAGATCTAGTAGTATTCCAAGTAGAGGCAGAGGAGCGAGGCCTAAAGTTGTGTAATCCTGTCCCGGACCGTGTGCGAGCCGGCCGTGAGTATTTGGTGCACGCAGATCTGTTCTTGCATGCCTGCGTGCAAAAAGATGCAAAAAAGCCACTGTCAGAATAGTGCACTGTGATGGTGATAGTGTGACCGCTCAAGACATTGCTTCTTTTGTGGACTCGATCGTGCAGAGCGCAGATTTGTCTGCCCGATCTTTGATGCCTGACGCCCCGGAGGATACATGGTGCATTTTGCTGGCAACCGCATCTCTCCAAGACAGCCATGTTCTTTCCACAAATCAATGGATGCCAGTTCACCTTCTGCCTGATGACCCAATTGCTCGTGATCAATTCCTCCAGCGGCACCGAATCAAAGGCCAGCGAGTTCTCAGTCACAGGGCCTTTGCTCGGCAGCTTGTTGCTGCTGGTGATGATGCGTCAATTAGATCAGGCGATGAAACGCTTTGATGAGACCCTTGCCACTGAATGGGTGAATGCTGCCATAGACCCACTCTGGCAACGAGTCTGTGGCAGCAGCTCGAAAACCAAGGGGGCAAGAAGGATGAGCACCTGTGGCAGCAGCTCGAGGAAATACATAAAATGTATCAAGAAGGATTCTACGTGGCAGCCACTGATATTTTACAGGAGTTCAATCCCCTTGGTACCGATGGCCGGAGTTGATCTACAGGAGTTTATGTATTAAAATCCTGTGCCCTCCCTGACCACAAGTTCTCAGTAAATTCCTGCGCCCAACCTCTTTTTGGATTCCTGCGCCCAACCCTGTGAACAACCTTGGCACCCCCATTTTACATAATCCAGCATGCCCAGTCGGAGCCATTTTGTTAAATCCTGCGCTCTACCTGACATGCTATCCCAAGAGTTTGTTTTGAAATGGAATAATTTCTGAATCGGTGGGGTCAACCCCCAGGATTTCAGTATGGGATAACCAAGGGGGATGGTCCGCTTCTTCCGGTGGATTCGCCCCTCACCAGGCGAAGCAGTCTCCAAACACCGGTGCAGAGATCGGTGGTCGGCGTGTCGGGTCGATCAGGCTGTTTCGACCCTCCCGTTAGGAGCGGGGGCGCATGCAGACCGCAGCTGCTTGCAAGGCGACCGAACGCCTCTCCAAACAGGAGTTTCAAGGGCCTGCTTCTGCCAAGAAATGGCCCAACACAACATCCCCCAACTGCCCAACTGCCGACATCCCCGCCGTCGAGCTCGGCCCGGTGGACGTGCTTCATGTAGATCTCATGGCGGATGACCACGGTATTGGTGAAGAGGTAGTTCGCGAGCAACACCGGCCTGAGGGGAAGCATCAGCGAAGCCACGGAACCATCAGCTGCCACTTCTTCTTCAGCAGCAGCAATTGTTTTGCGAGCAAACGCCATTCAGAGGATGACACAGCTCCTAGGCCTTTCCTCTGTTGCCAAATTGTAAATTTAGGCATATCCCATGACCAGGGCCCAGTGGATGATGATGCTTAGGTTGCAGGTCGCACCCTAGAATGCCCTATGATATATAAATTGATACAAATTGTGCATATGCTTGGGGTTTGACCGGTTCCTCTAGATTCTTGGATGCAGCAAGTTGATCGGAACACAGCAAGGGAGTTCCTTGCTAACATCTCTCAGAGAAAAGCATTGGAAGCGACCATCTTCACCGAAGCCTTTCCGTGAAAACACCCCAAGATGTCCCTTTTCGTCGATGTTCATCCCAGGCACTTGCCTTTCATGATACGCTGACCCCAGTTCTCCAAGGACTCCTGAAAGACCTTCCTCGTATGTCCTATGATGGGCGGACCCAGGTCGTGATATGGCAGCCGCTTATGCCACAAAATGCCGTAGTGCGACCACAAGATCTGCCCTGTCAGACGATGGAGGCAAACGTCGGACGAGAGGTTGAGGCTATGGAGGGTTTCGCCTTTAGATGCTTTTGGATGGCGATGGGACAAACAAGAACTCATAAACACCCGGCATCTTCCTGGATACAAAATGATCGAAATGCCCAACAATCAGGAGAAGTCATGCCGTCTGAAGCCTAAAAGCATTCCATCTTGGGCTTTTGGATGCCTAAAAGGGTCCCCCAATATCGGCCCAGTTGGACCTTCCATGCTTCGCTTCACACCCTTCGCTTCAGACTCTTCCGACCCCAAACGACCTTCTTCGCTGGACCTCCGGCGCTCCCCGCGGTCCACCGCGGTGGAAAGCGGTCGGACCTGCGAGGCCACAGGCCCCCAGCGCCACCAGGCGACTCCAGGACAGCTCGCTCGCCAGGCGCTCTGCCAGGTGTCGAAGCCTGGGAGAAAGACCGCAACATATAGAGATAAATAAAGGGGGTGAGTGGATTTGGTTGGTTTAATATGATGTGATCATAAAAATTCACATGGAACAGGCCCGTTCCAACTAGATTCGTTTCTTTCGACCATGGATGTTCGAACATGTTCTACATATTATAGATCTACAGTAGATCTACATAGTAGATCTACATAGCTCTTTTTTGATCAATCAGGATTCTCCTGGTGAGACAACATATAGTAGTAACAGTAGCATCATGTGTTTTAAAGATGTTCGTCTGCAAGGTTGGTTTCGGAAGGACTTCCTGCTGATGAACTGCCAGTTTAGGCCATTGTCAGATCCATCGATTGGATCAGGTCAACTGTTAGCCTCCAGCCTCTGCCCATGTTCCGTCGATTGTGCCCATCCTGAAAGGTCTTTGGTTAGCCAGAACATGCCAGAACCCTACAAAACCTCATCCAAGTCTTCCATCCAATTCCTCATTCAACTGTGTTTCATGCTTGCAATCTCACCCCCAAAAAAACTCATACTCCCATCGGTGCGTTCTCTGGATGTCCAGGGTTCGTCCAGTGCCCGGTGCCTCCCGGTGCCACATTTCTCCAAGGCTCCACTCCTCGACGCGGCTGATCCAATCCGTCATGGCAGCGTGGTCGCCGCGCGTTCTGCCCCAAAGTCGCCGGTCTCTGCGAGCTTTGCTTTTGGTCTCCGGCGGTCTTCACACACGAGTGCTGTTTGGGTGCTTTAAAAAGGTCGAAGCTGGGGTGCTTGAAAACCAAACACCTGCAGGATCCGTCGACATGGAGCAACATCGACCTCTGTCAGATGTGAGAGGGAAGACCATGCAACATCGACTCAGATGGGACTGAAGAGGTCTAGTCACAACTGGGTCGACTGAATGAACGCACCAGTTTCAAGCAATGGATGATGTTGAACTTTACATGAAATCATTGATCCAATCTGCCAAGGACCCCATATGTGATCCCTTACAACATGTGCGACCCGTTCAAGTTGCCTTCCAACCTCGGCGCGCGGCGTTTTTGTCCGACCCTTCGCTCACCACTCCTTACGATGTCGATCCGATCGGCTTCCAAGTGTCCCATCTTTCAGCAGAGTGGTGTCCTGATCCGGAGGTCGCCGCGAGGGAGGGAGGGAAAGCGGCGAGGGAGGCAGGTCTAGGAGGTCGAGGCAAGTCTAGGAGACGGAGCCGGAGCAAATCTCCAGCTGGAGCAATCGAATTGCGAAGGCAACAGGTCGTCTCCACTTAAAGGTTCAGGTCTGAGGATTTGTGGTAAGAACATCACTTTTGAGTGACATTTGCAATCATTTGGCAGGAAGAGAAGATACAGCAAATGCCCAGCAAATGTAGCAATATGTGGAAGGTTAAAATAGAAACGGTACTGATCGAGTAGTGTTGAAGTGGAGGATTTAATTCCAGGATATGGACGATGAATTTTGCGCTACTGTGAACTGTGGTAGTTTCATGAGTCAGTGGCAGGAACCTGGCAGGAATCTTCCAAGGTGCCATGTGACTTGATTCTCCAATACAGTAACCCATTTCGTCCAGCCACCTCCTCAGTCAACCTCCAAGCTCTTGGCTCTCTTGGCTCCCTAAAAACGCCCAGAAACTTACGTCGTATCAATCAACTCTGAGAACACCCCAACAGAACATCACATTTTCCCCCACTCCACACACCACCCCACATCGCATCCACCGTCTCCACACCTCTCCGTGTCCGAAAAAACAGTCAAGCTGCCAACAGCTGCTGCGAGGAATTCACCGTCAGCGTCAACTTCCGTGGCCGCGGCGGAGTGTCGGGCAGCGAGATCCGCAATTGCGGCTTCCCCTGCCATTCCGGGTGCGTGTGGGGCATGCGGGGGGGGCTGCCCGCACGGGTTCTAGGGGGGAAGGGCAGAGGGGAAAGCTGGGTCTGGGAGTGAGTGGCAGTTGGGTGTGGATGTTGGTCAAGGGAAGGTGGGAGTTGCTTTCTTGTGATATAAATATGGTTCTGAGGAAGAGCTTCTTCCGAAACCCACCAGGCAACGGGATGTATCACACCAGGCCCCGCCTGCTCCGAACCCGAAACCCTGAAGCAAGCGCGCTTGCTTAACGAACATCATGGCCCTGAATATTCCGGATCCACGCCCTGTAAGCCTCCTTTCAAAAGATCCAATGTTCCCACACCCATCAAAAAACTCTCCAGATGGTCTTCTGTCTTCTTCTGCTCCAGCCACGGTCACCCTTCCACCGCGGTCCCCCGCAAAGGTGTCCTCCCTTCCAAAACACCAAAGTCGGAGTACGTAGGGAGTCGCCTCCATGTCTTTGACCTCCATGTGTGGAAAGGCTGCAAGGAACTCCTACGTGGAAAAAACACAAGAGTCTGCCTGTCCTGTCCTGCCTGTCAATCCATCAGCGACACCTACCAGAGACCTGTTTCAAACCACAAACCCAACTGGTTCCATGAATTCTTGGAATGCTTGCCGATGAATTTCATCCTTCTTCACCCGAATCGCGGCGCTTGTACACATGTCTTGCCCGTCTTGCCCGTCTTGCCTCGTTCCATATGTCTTGAGGCCAAACCCTCCACTTCATGAGAACCCTCCAAAAAGTGTCTTCAACACTCACCAAATGCTCACAGGAGCATCCTGTTCTTCAAGAACAAAAGCACTGTTGGGTCACGTTCTGCGACCGTGTTCTCCGTGTCGCGTCCCGTCCGAAATCGCTTCCACGTCACCAGTGGCTTAGCCGGCCGTGCGTCGGCCTGAAGAGATGGATGTACCCAGCAGCGAGAACGGAGTCGAAAAACAGACCAGGACACCCCATGTGTGGTGAATGGACACCCCGAATCACAGCTAAGGGATAAATAGACACCCCGACAGGGTCCTGGGAGGTGAGTTCTTCCCTCATCCCTCAACCTCTCGAACTCACGCGCTGCGTGCCTTCCACCCTGCTGAGACTCAATGCCTGGTCTCCGACCCCAAAAACCGAGAGAGTCCTCGAAGGAGCCGTGGATCGCCTTAGGAGCGGTGCGCGGGGAGCGGAGCGTGGCTTGGAGGGTTGGAACCTGGAGATACACGAAGGACCTGGAGATCACATGGCATAGTGGGTTGGGAAGACCATGGTTAAGACCCAACAGCGGGTGCCATTCCACATCCATGTGAGTGGGAGAGTAACAAGCTTGCGGACTATTTGGGGATGATGAATTGGTTGGGAGATCACTTTTGGATCACACAATATCACATGATCGTGTTCGTGTAAGGAAGTCGGCCCGTATTTGGGCCGATTTGATGGTCAGTTGATCCAGCTGGTGCTCCCCGGATAGTGGCGCTAGCAACGGTGGAGTTGGGTGGCAACGGTGCATCCTCAGTTCACTGCAGGTCCATCTGAAATCTTGATCAACCCACATGAATAATGTGGATCTGTCTCAAAATGAGTGACCCAAGCAATCTGTGACCCGATTTCTCTTCTCATCATGTCTCATCTACGATCATCTACGTAATTTCACCCGTATTGATCAAAAAATATACCCAATTGCATCCAAACATGGGAAAGCCTGGTCCAATCAATCGAATCTGCTCCCTCTACGCACCACACACCCAAAAGCAAACACCCGCCCCCTGGCGCTGCCCTGGCTTCGAGGTGGTCAAGGTTTACCCGGATGAAGGTTCGACAAGGAATCGCCACTCTTCACCCATGGCCCGGAGCCTAGATACACCTCATCATGCGGAGCCCATCTTCATGCTCTCATCTGCATCCCCACCGGGCGGCATCTTCGAACTCCGCTTCATCCTCATAACCCAGATCCATGAAGAGAAAGTTCCTTGGGGATCTGGACTGAAATCCAGTGGATTCAGAAAGCTTGTCAGAAACTGAATACTGAACACTGATCTTAGATCCACTGGCTCCACCTGCTTGACCAGGCAGTGAACTCACTGAAGCAAGCTACGTTGGCGCCCTAAAGGCCACCGGTAAGATCAACCGAGCATGGAGTTCTTCCCGGAGCGGTTCCTTGTGAGTGGCATCGGACGGATCAAGCTCGATGTCCGCGAAAGAATGCACTAGCTAGCAAAAGGAAGACCATGATTCTCTCAATACCAAACAGGTGGTGACCTCCATGTATATAACCAGGATGATTTCAGTGATAGTGCTCCATGTTCACATCATTGGATTAGTGCATGATGAATCATGAACATTTACAATATGCAATTGTCCGATCCAATGTGGGCACCTCTTTTTTGCTCTTCCTGCCTGTCCTGCCGGTTCTGCCTGTCCTGCCTGCCTTGACCAGCATTTTCGGGCCATGCTGGCACCCGAACGAAAAGGACATGTTAGGACAAACAATGGGACCACAAACCTCATGGTGGAACACATGGAATCCCATTGGGTGAAATGGATTGAAATGGGGTATATACTTATGTTTGAGCCAAGGGAACAACTGGGACCACAAACCTGTCTGGTCGACAACCAAGGATGACCAAAACCACGTGGGCCGCTGTCGCCCCTGACAGCGACCACCTCGCCCCGTCTCTGTGGATTGGCTTCGCCTCCTAAAAAAGGCGCCAAAGGACAAAGGTCGCACTGGTCAAAAAGCTTGCGGGGTGGAAAGAGAAAGAGTTGAACAAATTATACATTCACAGTTTACACTGAAGAGTCACTAAAAAGTTAAACTTCTCACTCCAAACCTTCCAACCCCTTCCAACCAATTCATCGTTTCTGTTGATCATTGTAGGTATGCACACTTCTTTCAGAAATCATGTGAAACAAAACCATCTTTGACTGAAGAAATCTTTCGGCTTAGCATGCCCTGACCCTCGACCCCCCCAAACTGCCACATCCACAGACCGAACAGCTGAGTCACTTGATCCCCTCGAGTGGCAGCCACTCCACACCTCCGTGTGAGCACAGGGCCACGCAGTGGGCAAACGCTCTGGAAACTGCACGGAGAGAGGGACTGGTCCGTTCACCCCAAAGTGGGTCTGTCGGCCCCGCTGTGCTCGCGTTCGTTCACGGTTGTCTTTGGTTTGCCAGGTGGGAGGGTCACCAGGCAAGCAAGGCGAAGCAAGGATGCCCCAAGCCTCCCAAAAACACGACCAGGAGTGGTGTTATGTATTGACTCCAGCATCAAAAATCCATATGTCACGACCATACAGGTCACCCTGTGGAGATCGGAACCCGAAAAGAAGGCCAGTCCAAATACTGTCATGTCACCCTTTGCCCAGCATCCCCAGCTATGTACAGTCAACACTATTGCCAGTAAGCATGCTGACCATGGTTTTGACCCACATGCATCAAACATCAACAGAATGACCAAATCCGGAACGTGTCCATTGGATCAAATCAGCGTTCTGAAACATTGGATGCTCCCGAAAAAAATTCGGAGATCGCGACGCCAAGTGACCAGCTTGCTCTTTGGCACAGAGATACCATGCTTCCACCTCACTCCTTGGATTCCCGCGGACTCCGAAAGGTTCCACCCCCCAATGGAATCCACCGACGCAGACGGCGGTAAGGGGATCTGTCCGGCAGAGGAAGAGGTTCCAGTGGAGCATCGGAGGCAAATTTGGTCTGGTAAGGGTTTGCCAAGGAGGGCGGGCCTGAGGGTTAGGCACGAGGGTTAGGTGTGCATTTTTGTGGTAATCCTATGGCCGTGGTGTGTTGTTCGTGTGCGTGATGCGCGAGGTTTGTGAAGAGGACTGTTATAACTGTTAGGACGGACTCCGGCAGTTTCCGCCGAAGTCTTGGGTTACCGTTGCTGCCTGGTGTTTTTGGCAATTTGACAAGTGTCCATATCATATGCATTCAGATAACCTTCGTCTAGCACGCTTAGAAACATCTCAGCCCAGCTGTTTTTGAGACTTCGCTCCGCTTCAGTTCATCTCGAGGAGTACTCTTTGCACCTCAAGAGCAGTTTGGTGGAAAAGAGGCTCAGTACTTCAACTATAAGGAGACAGAGAATAAGTTAAAGTAACTTCCTAGAACATAGATCTATGGTGAAATTGCCTCACGTGAACGGCCACAGTGCCTGCCGACTTCTGCGCGCGTCACTGCCCTTCTTCTTGGCGCACGTTCTCAACCTTTGCTTACCTTGTAGGGCAATATTCTGTTTTGCCATGTGCGCTCAACGTCTCACGCCTCTGACACGTGAGGCTCCTACATTCTGGCAATCTGGTGCAGACTTTGGCCAGCCAATCCGCTTCATCTCGCTGCAAGCCGCCCGGAACGCTTGCTGTCGCAGCCGGCTTCGCACTTCCGTGGCTTCAAACTGAATTGCGCAGGGCAGTCCATGTAAGATCAAGAGGAGGATGTGACACCCCATGCTTGGTTCTGAAATTGCCGACCCCACGCAGATCCACAACCGTCTGCAAGCGAAACGTGTTCCTTGAGATCCGGAAGCTTTCCTCTGTGTTGCCAAGAGCTTTTGCTTTCCTCTGTGTCCGGAGGGGACAAGCGACATTCGCAGTTCCGACGTTTGGGGATAATTTCTCATTCATTCCGTGGGAGTGGATGATGATGGCTAGGTCCTAGAGGCCGTCTCAAAAAGAGTGACGAATGCGGAAAAGCGACTGTTACAGGTTTACTGGGACACACCCAACAAGAACAGTGGTGAAAAAAGGTGGGTGGAGCTTCGGATTTTGGTAAAGACCAGCATTGGGCAAAGTCCACAGGTATTTCGGGGGAACCACATGGGTTGCTAATGTGTATGTTCCTTCCAGGGCTCTGCAAGTGTCCTTCAATTGATCGGCCGGCAAACACCCATATATGAAACGTGAAGAGGGGTTAGACTCAAGAAGAAGCTCGTCTTTGAACAAAACATCTCATTGTAAACTTGGGGGGGAGTTTGTGATGCTACCAAACAGTTTAATTAAGTTTCATTGGTTTAGGACGTGAAGCAAAACAAAAAAGAATGCACGCCCCTCTGTGACTGTTTTGGAGGGACGGGCGGGGGGGGGAGGGGTGGGGTAGCAGGTAGCAAAAAAAGCCCACCAATCAGGTGTGGTGTGGGTGCGTAATTTTAACATGTATCACCCTTTGTTCGATCCCTAACCTCTACCATGTACTCTACTAGATAGGGCTAGCGGCTAGCTTCCCACCCAAAAAGAAAAACACGTGCGCGACACAGCAACTGGCAGACATGTCTTTTCACGCTCCTGGGGGTACTGGAGAGTAAGAGTGAGATTTCAAGGTCAGGGAACTGTACATGATGAAAGAAGTACAAGAATCACCTGTGGGTATCTCCACACCATGATGTATTTGTACAACAAATATCAACAAATTATTTATCTAATTAGGAATTCTGAAACCGAAGGCATCCAAAGAGAAGTGACTGAGCGGTTGCTTTCTGCGAACGAGTCGTTTCACAAATCTTTGGATACTTTGGCGCGAAGCTCCAATGTGTTTTCATGAACAGACTCTTCCCCCCAAAAGCCGTCCTGTACCCCAAAAGAAAAAGAATCAATCCGATTCTCGGTTCCTCTGAAAAACCCAAGCCACAGGATGCGCTCTTGCTCCTGGTGCGACACATCCACCTGAGCGTCTGTTGCGTCCAGCTCCACCCGACCTGCTGAGGTCCGGTGTCCAAAACCGTCCTGGACCTGGACATCTCTAAAGTAGTGTATGCCCGTGCTGGTTGTGAATTACATAGTTGAAGTTACTATGTGGCATTACTATGTTGAAGTTTGGGGACCACTATTTTTTTGAGTTTGCATGGTCTTTGTCCCACCTTCAGTCGAGCCAATTCCTCCGCTGAATCCAATACGCTGAGATGCCTTGAAATCGATCTGCTGACTGAAAGCGGTGCTACGAAAGCAAAGAAGCATCAAACTTGGGTCTGGCACAAAGGAATGTTTACAGTATATACAGTAGCAATAATAACTGCAAACTGGACCAGGCCCTTTGATCTGCTTTGCAGGACCTGGGCCGGCCCAGGTCCTTCAACCAAAAGACGACCTCCGACCACCGACCACCGACAGACCCTGAGACCGCCACGGACGGTCCGAGACCCTTGAAGTCCAGGTGTTGTGATGCTGGAAGCTGCTGCTGAAGAGCATCTTTAAGGTTATGACGATTTTTTGGCGGCAGGTCATCTGGCACACCGCAAATTTCAGCACCCCTGTTGAATCCGCAAGCTTCAAAACGTGTTGTTTTTCAGAATTTCTGCCAGCCTCACTACTGACCGGGGTGGCGTTTGGAAAGATGGCTCCTACAGCACCGTTTCTTTGCCACAGTTCTCCTGGCTTCAGCACCTCTATCTCGTGCCTTCCTTCCCTTCTTCCCTTCCCTTCGTGCCTTGAAGCCAGCTAACATGGCTAGGTTCGGGATGCCCAATGGCAAGCAGTCTTTGGGGTAGAAACAAGATCGTAGACCCCTGCATCGTTCGCTTAGGGCGTTCTCTGAAGCACATCCTCCACACCTACAGGACATCTGAGATTTGCGGAAAGAAGGGACCCTTTGGACAGAGTGGTGTCACCGCCCTCACCTCGGGGGGGGTATCTGCAGAAAGTGACCTCCTTCTGTGCCATGCTTCTGCGCCTTGATTCAGCGACCTCAAAAAAACATATCAATATCAACATCTTGAAGCCTTACCACTATGGGCCCTTCTTATTGAGCGTTTGTGGTTAACTTTCCACCAAAGACATGTTGCTAGCTGAGAGCTGTGCTAGTTTTGGGAGGCTTTCCTGTCTAAGACGTTTTACACAATGAAGCCATGTTGCTTCTTGGGAGCTGTGACACGACCTGGCGCTGTGACATGGGTGGTGTGAGTTCGGTATTCATATCTCAGCTATGGGGCGAGAGCCAAAGCTGCGGCGGGGATGGCTGGAAAGAGACCCGCCGTTAATGGCTATTGCCAAGGTGCTTCCGGCCGATCCCTGCCCAATCAGTCCAACCGCACCTCTCTTCTGATGTAGCGAATGAGATGTTGTTCGAAACACTGGGGGGAAGGAAGACGCCCCACTTCTCTGCGTTGTTTTCTGACCTTCGATCTACGTACCCAAGAGCTTTCGTTTGGGGTCCAATGAGGTGGGTCTGGACGATCATGTGGGCCTCAGGAGTGGATACGCTGAATGGGCTCAGAGCGCGTGAGGACTGAGGAGTGGATATCTACACTCCCTGAAATCAGTTTGTAATACATCAAAGGCCGGAGGTTCGGACCAGCAGCGCCGAATCAGACCCAACAGCTAGGCGTTTTTACCACTCGTTGCACATGTCGTTCCACGTGAATCCACTCGTTGCACGTGTCGTTGGACGTGTCCTTCGTGGCGTTGGACCCTCCACCCTTTGCCCGAGTGAGTCGCACCGAGTCCCCCCACCGTGGAGTCTGCGAGACGCAACGGCTTCCCGCCGGACATCTGCAGCAGCGACTCCTGCGGGCGGGGCGGTTCGGATCGCCGCTCGGATCGAAGGAGCGCCGGTTCGGATCGAAGGAGCGGGGCAGGAGGGCGACTGAGAGGTCTGAGGAAGTTCTCTACCAGCACCCAACTCTAGAGGTCTCCAAAATGATAGCTTTTGGAGACTTTCCCTCTTGTCAGGTCGTGACCTGTGAAGTCGGGTGCTGGTATGAGGGAAGAACTCTGTGAGCTAATTGGTTCATAGATTGGGTCGATGGGGCCTGGTTGCAGGCCGACATCAAAAAAAAGTAGTGATCAGTGATCATTGTTTACCGACTGTTACAGGCAATGGGAAGACTTGGTCAAACATGCAGCTCCCACATCCACACAACAGACCAGGTGGCTTTCACCACAGGGAGACCATTCGATGTGAATCCGCTCCCATCTCCAAACGGAGCCGTTTTGAGCGATCCGTGTTGCTGCTTGCCGGCGTAGCCATCCATTCTCTGTTTAAGGCAAGCAACTGTTCAGTGAGTCAAAACTTAGTGAATACAGTATACAAAGTCATCGATCAAGCCCATTTTGAGCGATGTGCTGAACGATTTGGCGACTGCGAACCATCGCTGCGAACCATGACGTGGGTCGGGGACGCCGTTGAATGGTCCTTGGCCGTGAGGTCGAGCCAGAAATCCTTCAAGGAGCGAAACCGTTCAGTACCGAACTTCTCCACATCGATGCCTCGGCGTCGCATAGCACGGGACGAACTCCCTCATCGGCGCCGGAAGACGGCCCAGTTGGAGCGGTTTTTGAGAGTGGCAGGGGTAGTGTTCCGGTGGAAAAAGCAGAGATCCAAAAGCCGGGACTGGTGGGTGAAGAAATCAAAAGGTTTCTGTGACTTTTCTGGAGTTGGGTTTGATTCGCTGTGCTTCCACATGTCCAGGGCATCTCAGATATTAGCACAGAGCTAGAAGAATGTACGTCAGAAATTCCAAAGAAATGTCTGGTCCTACTCAGATACTCAGATCATGTCGGAACGTGTCGCACCAAGGATACTCAGATACTTTCGGAACGAACGGTGCGACGGTGCGATACTCAGAACTCCACAACACAACAAGGATGCGCCAAGGGGCCGCAACGCCGCAAGAGGATCATCAAGGCCGTCTCGGTGGGCGGGAACTGTACAACGCCGTCCTTCCTGAGCAACAGGTGCCCACAGCGACAGGACGCGGTTTCGGACAGGGAGACTGGGAGACGGGGAGAGGTGTAAAAAGATGGGTGGAATCCAACTGATAGGGTTTGCCACAATCAAGCCAAAAGCCACATGCAAATGGGGAAAATGGAGAGGAGGCATAGGAGATCATAGGAGACAGGAGGCACAGACAGAGCCCTGGACGAGGTCTCACGAACAAACAGTACACTTGGATACACTTGGCTTGCACCAAATTCAATTGATGAATTGCCCACACCAAGTCGTCTTACAGTCTTTGGTATTGACCCATCTTCAGATGATGGTCTGCTGCTTACCCGGACAAAAAGACCAACACGACACAGAAGGGGGCCACCCTGCACTGGTTCAACTAGGCTTGGTAGACTTGCCAGTGTTGAAACAGGGGTGCACTTTTAATTTGGTATTGTGTCATCTTTGGCTTTTTTTCAAAAACATTGGAATAGAGCAGGTTTCTTATTAGTACCTAGCTAATTACAGCAATTTCGTGTCCTTAGCAGAGACACGGGTGTCGTAGCTGGCCAAATACATTGGAATAGTGCAGGCTTCATATCAATTGCTAGCTGATTATATACTGTAGACTAATTTAGGAGCTGTCGTAGCTGGCAAAATACATTGGAATAGTGTAGGTGTCAGAGAAATTCCTACCTATCACAACAGTTTGGTGCAGTTAGCAGAGAAACAGTAAAAAGAAAGAGAACTAGCACAGGAGGCATATATGATTGGTTAGAAGTTTTTGCCCCGGGGGAGTTCACCTTCAAATATTGATTTCCTGGCAGGCGCGGGTGTCGGAGATGAAGTGCAGATTTCGTGGTGCGGGGGGGGTTGGGGGGAGGCGCAGCGCCCCCCCCAGCAGCACACCAGATCCAAAGGTTAGAAAGCAAACAAATGGAAAAGCAAAAACAAAAAGAGAAAGGAGAACAGCTGCCAAAGCAGAAAAGCAATAAAAGCAAAGAGCAGAAAGACAAAAACACAAAAAGCAGAAAAGCAACAAAAGCAAAAAAGCAGCAGAAGCAGAAAAAGCAGCAAAAGCAGAAAAGCAACAAAAGCAAAAAGGCAGCAGAAGCAGAAGAGCAACCAAAGGCAGAAAAGCAGCAAAAGCAAAAAAGCAGCAGAAGCAGAAGCAGAAAAGCAACAAAAGCAGAATCCGAGAAAAGAAATGCCAAAAAAAGTTTTAAAAAAAAAAAAAACGAAAAAATACACCCATCCTTGAAACAGTCCCAAAGAGTACTTCCCAATGATTCCAGCTCTATCCCTTTGTATAAGCATCAACGAACCGCAGAGTGCCCCAGAGTCCCCCCGAACCGCCCAGTGGCTGGAAGGCATACTTCGCCCATCGTTCGTCGGCTGTGGCCTTGCCCCATTCGACCCAGCAGGCAGCCCGGTCAAAGGGCCAAAGGGCTTGATCAAGGAAACCAAATCAAGGACTTGCCCCCCCGTAGAAACTCATCTGTGAGTTGATCAAGGGGTTCGAAGATCCGCGAGTTGATCCACCAAATCCAAAGCTCCACCTCAAGATATAGCCTTCCAAAGAGTGCTGGCTGGAACGCTGTGGACGGGCAGGGTCTTCGAACATCAAGAGAAGATATTGCTTCTCAACTCTACAATTCTCCACTCGCCTCAGTTTCTATCATGGAGCCCATCAAAGCATCTCAAAGCCCAACAATCACACGCTCTCCACCGGCCGCCACGCCACGTCCGCACCGAAGACCCCGGGCCTCGCCCAGATTGACGAAGCGCTGCAACTTCTGCGCCTCGAAGAAGGGCACCCAGCGCCTCGGACGCATCGGCCGGGCGACGTGGCCCCGCGAAGTGACCTTCTTTCAGCGCGGAACTCGTGGGCCGGAAAACGCTCCGGTTTGAGAACACCGGTAAGGTGGAGAAAGGTGGAGAAACGTACAGTATTTTTTTTGTAAAAGCAATAATAGCAACAATGATAAACATCCGAACAAAGAAGTACTTCACCGAAGGTGACACCTTCTTTTTTCTCCACAGTGTCGAGAATGTGCACCAGGGTCGCTCTGGATCTTCCAATCCGAGACAGGCTCGCTCGCTCGGATCCAAAGGGACCCTTCGAGGACCGCCTTGGTGCCCTTCGAACATCCGTCCCCACCGCCAGCGACACTGTCGTGCACGAGAAGTGATTTCAGTTCCGCCACCCTGTGCCATGATGTGGGGAGGGGAAAGCGAAAGGTGTCTGAGTTCCTGGCCAAAAGAACTGCTTCTTGGTGCCATTCCTGTGGAGCATGCGGAGCAAAAACCCCATGGCGGCGCATGATGACGGCCCCCCCTCCAGGCGTCCACCCCCTCAGGCTGCCCCCCATGGCTCCCCATTGCATGTCTTCAGAACTCAAAGATTCATTTTGCCGCCCCATGTGATCAACGACGTTCCCATCAGCCACCTATCTGCGTTCCCATCACCATCGCATCAGGAAAAAGCATTCCAACCCCGCCGACCCCGTGCGGGCGCCGGTGCGAGAAGACGAATGCCCGTGTCGTCCAGTTCGGAGTAGATGAAGCGTAGAGTCTCCATGAAACTGGGTCTGTTCCAGCAAACCATTCTTGCTCGACAAACAGTTTCCAAGTGAGAGACTGAAAATGTCGTTTACACCTGGACTCCTTTGAGATACATTGCGGTTCCGCAAAACAGGACAAACATCTCTACAGCTCTTCCTGCGGTAGAGGATCCAGGTGGAGTAAACAGATTTCTTTGTCCATTTAGGATTGGTTCCGTGCCTCAAACCCATTCTATA